AACAGCAGCAAGGCTTTTTCTAATGGTTATCATAGCTCATTCTTGTGACTTCTTTTCCTTGAAAGCGAGTGATTAGCCCATTCAATAATGTCAAAATATGTGTGTGTCTTCCATTGAAAACATGGCAAAAGATAGATAGTACAATTTTTTCAAGAGAAAGCAATTTTCCCGGTCAGTCTGTCATATCAAATATTAGTACATCATCTTACTCTAGAGGAAATATATTCTAATTCTGAAGAGTAATACCATATTTATTTTCATTAAACTAGCATAGATGGAATCCACTTTGTGTAAAGTGCCAGCACAAAGTTGTAGGTCCTGCATTTAGCTATGATTCTTGTAAGTCATTTTACATCATGTTAGCATCCCCATTGGGAATCACATGCCAATTTGTGTAAATTGCCTTGAATCATTCAAAGGCTAGGATCAGCAGACATCAGTCCAGGGTTCTGTGCTGTTCTATATATCACACAGATCACGGTGCAGAGTCTGTCTAAATATTTCTAGGGATCTATGTTAAATATATAACTGTAAATAAATAGAAATGATTTTTTGGGAATTCTTTATTGTTTCTGTAATAGTAATGATGGCTAGCTTAATTAGAAAACTGTCTTGGATTTTGAATTGTTTCCTTAACTTAAACCCACCTACTATGTTTGGTAATGATTGCAAAAATAAATTTTTGTAAATATAAATAATTATGTAATCAACTGGTTAATAAGCTGGATGGACATAGTCAAAGAAGCGTGCTGTTAGAATCAAACACAATGGTTCATTCATTCCTTAAGGGTAACAGTTTAAATCTGGGTGTTGGCAAAACTGGCAGCTGTCACCCTCTTATGAATTTTATTTAGTGCTCACAAGGACCAAATGTCTTGGAATTTAACAGAATCTTGCCTGTGTAAGACATGTGCACTGTCGACAGCTAAGTTAGGATGTCGGGATTGGTCTTCAGATACTGCTCAGTAGTGCTATTCAAAAAACATGTTCTATCCACAAACATCTTTGGAGCTTTACTTCCATTGTTACGAATGAAGAGAGGCAGAGGGTAAGGATTCACTCTTGCATTTGTATATTTAAACCCCTGTGATCTCAGAAACTCATGTTGGTTTTTTTTTTTGGTTTTGTTTTTTTCTTTTTTCTGCTGGAAATTATTTAGAATATTTCCTGTAGCTGGGGGAGATTGGGGGATTAGGGGAGTAGAGTGGTGTTAGCCCATGGAAAATTAAGCTGTGATCAAATGCATAAAAAGAGATAGGCAAAGAGGCAAAGTTAATGGGGGCACAAGTATCTCTGGAAATGAATGTGAAACTGTCATGTCTTTAGTTCTCATCATTTTCAAAACCTCATCTTCTGTTCATAAATCACGTGGTTGCTAACTTTAGATCTGGCAGGTTGAGACCACTCATCTTTTTTACCCAGTAATATGTTAACTTACAATAAATCTGCCGCTAAACTGCTGGTTTCTGATGTCATCTCATGTGGTCTTCAGAATGGGTTAGAAAATGGGAACGTTGTTGAGAAATGACTGCCAAGAAGCATATGTCTAAGAATGGGTAATAACTTGTACTGTGCCTGTCTTCTCATATGAGCATGTTTGTTGCAGCAGATTTTATCAAACATTTAGAATCAGATTTAAATATTCAAAATAGTATTTTCAATGAAGTTTTTTTAAATGTAAAAAAGATTTTTTTTCTCTTTTTGATGGGGAAAAAAAAGCAGTGGAATTAGTCTCTTTACTCATATATTTTTTGTATTCTCCCAAAATTTCTCTCTTTCCTTTGATGGTACCTAAATGGTATTGGTTTACCAAATACAGGATAACACAGGATGGGGGGGCTGTAGTAGGGAAGGACCTGGTCAGTTTTAAATGAACTGTATTTTGTTGGATGTTCAATTTCAAAATAAGAAAATACATTTCTTTCAGACTGGGAAGTGCTCATTTTTTAGTTAATTATGCTTGATCTTTATTGAATGATCAAGCTGTGTTGCCCTAGAAGTATTGTAGCATAATGTCTAAAAGTGGGAGAACCACTGATTTCAGTAGAACTAACCAACAGCCCATGAGTTTGGGAGAATCTCGTGTGTGTAACCTGTAGCTCTGTTCTGTGACCCTGTCTGAGAAAGCATTTAAACATGCATTTGAAGTCCAGAATGTGACTAATCTGGAGTGAAATTAAACATATACTGGAGTGCCTTTTCTGGATGTGCTTCTTTTCTAGATAGGCTCCTTTGCTGTCAGTTTATTTCACATGACAGATAACTGTGTTCTTATAATAGGAATTTGAGGAGTTGAGTAGGCAGCATGAATCTGCTTCACTGATCTTTTGCAGGTAATATCTGCTTCAATAATCTTTTGCTGAATACTTGCAGGTATAGAGTGTGCAGTTGCTGAAAGTAGCTCATTGTTCTTGCATAGCTGCCTCATTCTGCAAAGGTCTTAACATATGAAGTCATGGGCAAATGTGAAATCCTGACTTCCTGACTGTAAAGTATGGCATATTTTTTATGTGGTTGTCTGTTACTTGCTTGGTATATTACTCAGGCCCAGACTGAGGCAGAAATCAGAACCCATTTCCAAGAGGTCAGCTCGTTCTGCACCTGAGCTCTGTATGCACTAGAGGCTGAGTCTTCAGAGGTGGCACAGCAGATCAAGTAAAATTTAGGTTGCCTAAACTCAAGCCATCATCCCCACAGTCCTGTCCAATATTGAGCACTGTACAACACATGGAATCCAAAACTTTAGGACAAAAATAATTTTTACAAGAGGTAAAACTTCATTGCCTGTACGGGGCCTGTATATTCCTGGGTATACCAATATGACAAAGTGATTGTCTGTCTGTAAGGCAATTGAATGGATTAAAGAAACTCAGGCTAGAGAATGCTTTTATTTCCATATATAAATGTGCCAAATAGTCTCTAGCAGACAGTCCCCTGTCCTTCAGCCACTCAATGATCTGACTTGATGCTACCTACATAAATGTTGCATTAGTTTGTGTAATGCAGTTTATACCTGTTCATTTCCCCTGGTTATCTCATACACCCACAGTGAGAAGAAATTGTTACATTCTAGATGTCAATATGACAATGAATGATCATAACCTTTTTCTTAGCTGGTATGTAAACTTGCATGGGCTCCATCCCATAGTGGTGGAGCTGTATTGCAAGTAGGTTCACAACTTTTTATCAGAGAAAGCCTCAATTTAAATGAAAACACAGTTCCACCTCCTTGCTGCTGCTTTTTCCCCCTGGTTTTCACTACTGGCAGTGGTAACAGAGGGTTGAATGTTTTATTTACCATGTAAGTTCAGTTCTACTGGCTCATTTTGCACAATTCACTAGATAAAATTCTAATTAAAAATTTAAATTTTTCAAGTATTTTGGGGTAGATCCTAAATTTCAAGCTAGAGGAGGAAGGCTGCATTTTTTTTCTTGCACATTTCTTCATGCATTGTAATCTTCTTGGTCAGAACTTATCCTTCCTTTTGATCCCAGCTGGGCCAGAACTACTGTCTGAAAAATAGGGAAATACTGAATGATAGTCTTTGAATGGGATTTTCCAGTGACAAGGATGCTGCCTGTGGCTTCCTGGGAAGAGGAAGAAGCAGACCAAAGAGGAAGCAGTAACATGAACAAAATACTATAGCAGGATGAAAGAAAGACACTGAAAAAATGGACAAAGAGGAAAGAAATGAGTAAGACTAACGTATGGGAAGAGTGAAATAGCCCTAGATGGTCAGTTGTCCCAAAGATCAGCTACAGACTTTTCACTAGATTCATAAGGATATTTTAATTTTGTGAAGGTTTTTAGAATCGGTTCTTTCCTAAGCAAGGGTTTGGTAGTTTGCAAGAATGGAAAAAGTCTGGACTAGTATTTCCTGTGTGTTTGAAGACAGAATCAAAGTCACCGCTTTGGATGTCAGTAGCAGCCAGTGCGCCAAATTCTCCTCTCAGTTTCACTGATGCAGTCTTACTTGGCTGGAAGTTCTCTCTGCTCCTGCTTTGCTCCTGTGTCTGCGTGTGTCTCTGTGTCTGTGTGCTTATTTGTGTGTGCAGCCCAAGAGCCAGAACAAACGTTTCAGTATTAAGAATAAGGAATGTGAAAAGTTCTGACTGTGTAACATTGCTAATGGACAGAAACTATAAAAGAAGATGTTCAGCATCAAAACTTTCAGGAAAGATCCCTGTAGTTTAGGCTTTCTGCTTCCTTCACCCTTTAGTTTAAGCTTTTTCCTTCATTCACCCTTCATTATTCCTCTGTGACAAAACTACTGTTTCTTCTCAACAAGATCAGGTGAAGGCAGTTGTGTAAAAAAGTTTTAGTCTGTATTTTACCATGTTGTGTTTATAAGTGATGTTTAATTGCTGATGGTGAACTAAGCAATCATTTTTAAATTGAAATCAATACAAGATTTGTTCACCCTTCGAATGTCCTCTCCTTTCTCTTAACTAATGCCTGCTTCCAAGTAAGAAAACCCACAAAGCAATGCAAAATAAAGACAAGCCCTTTTTGAGGCGTTCATAGCATTGAAAGTGATCGTACGTGTTAATAAGTGCCAGTGTGTTAATACAGAGAGGGGAAAAGTATTTTTCACCTCTGGTCTGTTTGCTATTTAACAACTGGTTGTTGAAGTACTTAAAAATTTCACTGCATATCTGAAGCAGGAGTAGTGTCATCATAAAATTGAGTTGATTGTTTTATGTTGTGAACAGGACTTTGTCCTACTGACACTCCAGCTGAGACACATTCTGTCATTTCTCTGGAGGATGGGTTTTCAGCTGATATTTTAACAGAATGTTGCTGTTCTTGGTGCATTCTGCAAACATATTGCACATCCAAAACAGTGTGTACACAGCCTATCTGTACTGCAACAGACTGAGCTTTCCACATAAATTAACAGCTGCAAACAGTAGATTTTTATTGCCATTTATTTATTAAGAAATACATGAAAGGATGAAATCTAGAGGTTTCAAATACAAGACACTTAGGGAATGCATGCTTATTATGTCCCACAGTCAAATGCACTTGCCGAAATTTAATTTTCTGAAGCTTAGCAGTCCCCACACCTGTGAAATCAGGAGATCTGCTGCAGAGAAACTACCCAGTTTTTCAGGTGCCTGGAGTTGTACCTAGCATTGCACTAACTTTCAGGGTTATTTGCAGAAGCCCGGATACAGAAGAGTGCACTGTGTACTTAACATGCAGTGAGAACAGAACCAGCTGGGTTTTTAGATTCTTGGTCAGAAATACTCACCCATGTAGAGCTTAGCTTAGTCTGACTGTGCGGCGCAAGAACGGTGGAAACCTGAGACACAAATACCTGTCAAATGACTCCACGGCTGACTGTATAAGCTACAAGTGCTGTTGTAGCAGAGCACTGTATTCTGGCCCTGTTAAGATCACATCTGCCCTTAAAACACTCATATGTATTTTCATCTATAAGGACATCAAGCTGATAAAATTCAGTGTGGGAATACCTCTTATACTGGCATAATGAAGCTATTTTTAAAAGCGTATTTCAAAACTAGATATTGTTACCCAAGTACAAAGCAGGAAATCACTTGGTCAAAGCCTGATCTATTAGGCTCCCCCTATGGTTTTCCTTATCCACTGAACGTAGTGCTTTGTGAGTCGAGTGTAGACACCAGGACCATCAGGAGCACCACACTCTTTCTTCCCAAAAGCAGTGATGCCTCTCATCACATTATTGCATATTAAAGGTCCGCCAGAATCCCCCTGGAAAATGGGAAAGAAAATTGTCATTCAAATTCACAAAAGCTAAAAAATGCTTCTTTTAAAGAGAATTTGCACCAATTGCATGGAGAAAATAAAAAGGCAGACGGTGCTATTGCAGAATTGTTTTTTTCCCTCCTTCGAAGGTAAGATTTTAATTAGCAAAAAAAAAGGACTTCAATCTGATCTTTCAAGTGTGAGTTATGGGAAATGAGTCTAGCTCAGTGCTAAGGAATAGTAAGTCTTTTTGAATATGAAAAGAAAAAGCTGGAAACTTTCCTCTTGAAAAGCAAAAAGTCTCTAGAAATCAGTCCCTTTTTTGTAACTTTGTTAATTCAATAATTAAAAGTTTTAAAATGCGGCAGTTCTTACACGGTTGTGCATTGGACTTGGGGCCCAACCAAAATGCCTTTTATCAGCAAAACCTGTTTCAAAGTCCTCTGACATTCGAGAAGTTGTTCCATGGAGGCTGGCTGCTTGAGAATAGGCTCATAAGCTATTTTTCTATTAAAAGCATTTTATTGAAGAAGACAATAGCTAACTGCCATGCCTGCATAAATTCACAATATCCTAAGTCTGTAAAGGTGAATTTATCAATCAGAAGTTTTGATTTTAAGGATTAGAAGAACAATTCGTTAATTTTTAATAGAATTCTTTATTGACCTGAAGAGAGGCAGAAATTATAAATGTGTAAGAGCTAGTATTTGGTATTTTATTTTTAATAAATATATAGACAGTAAATATACTTACACGACATGAGTCCTTTCCTCCATTCTTAGCTCCAGCACATATCATGTTTTCTGTTATAACAGGTTTGTTTTTATAATGCTTGTTGTCATTGCAGATTTCCCTACTGAGGACAGTGACATTAACCTCCATCAGGGTATCAGAAATTTTTTTTACAATACTGTCAGTTTGTCCCCATCCTGCTACTGAGCAAATTGTTTCTGCTTTGAGATCATCAAATGAGGTAGGCAGGTCAATGACTTTCACTGCTTTACCAAGTTTTGCTCTTCTCTGAAGCTGTAGAAGATAGGGAAAATAGTTACTACAGGGCAGAGTCTTAACAGAAGCCCCTGCATGTTAACCATTGGATCTTTTCTATTATGGGAAATTACTGCAACATCTTTTTGAGATTCCTCATTTCTTTGTGACAGGATTTATGTAATCAATATAAGAATGAGGAAAACCCATGTCTCATGAAAACCCATTTAGCTTCTGCTGAAATATTAGCTCTAAATAAATACCCTATGTTACTTCTCTGACCGTCAGACCTTTGGGAGGACAAAATGGCAGTAATCACAGAAGCTGAGGCAAAACTGAGAGTCAGAGAAGTCAGAAATTATTAATCACAACTGTTTTTCAGACAAAACATTAGGACTTGTAACGAAGTTATTTCACACAATGTGTGATATTTCATCAAGAGTGAAATACACTCTTTCTGTGGACAATCTTTATTCTTCCACTGAAAAGCCAGAAATTGGAATATCTTGGTCAAGCTCCAGAATTTTTCTACTTGTAGCATTGGCATGCATTACAGGAATTGTTGATTGCCTCAGCTCCCAGTGCATCCCCAGTCTGCTAGATTAGCAGACCAGACTATATCACCCCAGGAAAAAAGTCACCAGAAACTCCCTTGGCTCATCTCCCTCATAAGAAAGAAGAAACTGGTACATCAGAGGAAATGCATATTGCCTAAGTGATGTGTAAGTCTATACCTGCAGCAGCATAATGTCATTTTCGTGAGAATCAGAATAGTAGCATGGGTGGCGAATTTGTTTTGCAATCCGAAAAACCTGTTTTTCTCTTTCTTTTGTTTTCCGTGAGTGAGCTCCAAGAATAACTCTGCCTCCTTCCCTGAGAAGAGAGACAGCATGGTTAGTGGGATTCACTTGCTGTAACTCTGTAGTTCTTTGCTGTTAATTGTGGTGCTATAATGTCCAGCTACAGAATCTATTTTCTCATGTCTGAAAAGCAACAGTAATTTAGAAAAATATAAAAGATTACCCTGTTTTTACTAGGATTTAAAAAAAAAAAAGACTGAATCAAAACTTATACTATCCTATTTTCAGCTTCCCAGGAATATAGACAGGGTTCAGGTACTTGATTCTGAACCTACACCTATTGTTCCCTTTGGGAACGGAATGAGGAGCAGAGACAACAGCTTTGCTGTTGGTAGTCATCTTACCAACTGTGCCCTCTGCAATTTGTGCTGAAAATTCAGGAGAATAGCTCACAGCACTGTCAGTCCAGAGGTCAACACGGCCGGATTGAATTGTATCATTGCTTTGCCCTAACACCATTTCAACACTGTTCTGAGTCCATGTGAGACATAGCTCATTTCTTTTCTCTAACTTGTTCTGCAACTTAGATGCTGAAGTGGTGACAGTTGTGCCTGCTGTGGCCCTCTGCTATAGAAGCCAGGAGTACAGCACTCCTTGGTCAAGCAGTCCTGGCAAAACTTCTATATCAGACCACAGGTGTAGCTGTTTGTGGGAGAACAGCGTACGATACAGCTGAATGGGAGAATATTCTTTGAGCAGGTATGTAGGTTGGCCCTCATTTCCCACTTACTGCAGCGAACACAACCCTGAGGAAGAAACTGCTCCTGTCCTTCAGCTATTACGAGCTGTCTGACTGTTGACTGATGACCATTAGGTTAATTCTTTATTGTACTTTCTCTTAAATTTGATGTCATTTGGAAACACTCTATACCTTATGTTAATATGACAACTTTTGGGCGCCCTGTGCTCTCTTTGTAGTAGGTCCCATTGTCTCCTTGTTTTGACAAGGACAGGAGAGATGGATACATTTCTCTGCTGTCTGCAGAGCCCAGTGATTCACTGGGCAGGTCCTGGGCAGGCCATTGATGGAGCTTGTGTGAGGTCTGGGTCAGCAGCAGCTCCAGTCCTCCCTGCAAAGGCAAGGGGTGGGATGTGTCCTGTAAACCTCACATCTTGCCTCACTGAGGGACTCTGCGGGGCCAAACATCCATTTGCATCTTGAGTCAGACAGGAATAAAAAAGGCTGGCTGACATATCCATCTCTCATTGGCTACTGTCATCTGTCTGGAGGATTTTCGCTCCTGTGTAACTGCATACTGTCTCTTTCTGTGGTGAACTGCATATCATTTACAGAATAAAATGACAAGAATTTATTTCTGTTTTCTGAGCAACTGTTTAAACTGGCTGGTCTTCTAGCCTACTTGCCTGAGAAAACAGGGATAAGCCCTTCCCCCAGTTTCACTACTTCACTGTTGCTACTCTGTGCTTTCATGCAGCTAGAAGCTTGTAAAATATCTCTTCAGAAGATCAGTATACCTTGTTATTATTTTTTACTCAGTGAAGCATATTTGTCAATATAAATTATAAAACACAATAATCAGAACATGATTAGGGTCATGCTAAATGTACAAAATCACCAGTGACACTAACTTTCCTTCTTGATCAGAAGCACCAAATACTCACTATGGACAATCTCTGAATTGGAGTAAGAACTTACACTTTGCAGTGGGCAGCTGTTAACACCCAGTTTTTCTTGATCAAAGCTCCTCCACAAATAAGGCTTTCATCTTTTCTCTGGATTAGGGCCATATATGGTCTTGAGTGTGGTGGTACTTCTGCTCCTCCAATGATATCCACACAGAAACCTAAAAATAAAAATAAGCCACAATACACACAGCTGGGCTAACAAATACTGTAAGAGACTCAAAGTCTCTTAGATAAAACAGTTAATATAGTCACAAAGTATACAGACTCATGAGTGTGTGCATATGTTACAATGCTGATCTTCAGGGTAGACTTTTAGAATTGCTCAGCAGTACTACTTCTGTATGTTGCGATGGGATAAAAATTTGATCAGTAGGGTGAGCTTTGATAAGAAAACCACCAAATTATTGTTGCTTTTGCACAGATTTCTTTTCCTGAAGTTCGCTGCTGTGGTTAATTTCTTAGCTTTCATTGTGAATAGCAATGTCAGATCTGCCACATGATAAATGTTGTACAATATGTGACTTATGTAGACACCTGGAAATGGGGCTACATAGTGTAAGTCACATTACATTAACCTGTTTTTCAGAAAAACAGAAAATCAAAAGATTGAAGTACGTGTATACCTCTGGAGAGATAAACATTATGTTAGCTCCTCTGAACACCTCCATATAACCTGTCCTCTGTGCAACTTTAATGAATACTACCCATTCAGAAATTAATTTGTTTGTATGAAAGATCAAATATATGCAGACAATGGGAAAGAGCTAATAATAAGAACTCAAATAATAATTATGTTTACTTCCAACATGTATCCATTGATACATGTTGGCTTACCTGGAACTCTGTACACAGCATTTACCTTCAAAAGGATCAAACTGGGCACTTACCCCTACAAATTACCAGGAGAATGACAGCAGCAGAGGTGGACAAGGTGAGGAAGGTTCCCATGATTTCTGTCTGGTGTTCCCCCTTAGTCACTGTTTAATACATATATATATATGTCTAAATGAAAAGGATGTGGGTTTTGTTTTTCCTCTTAAGGACACCTGACATTTGTAACTGTGACACAGTCTCACCCAGCCCCTCCTTCCCCCCTCCCACCCCCACCCCCTAGCAATGTGGCTTACAGCAGAGGTTTTAGTGAGAAACTGCATCATCTGTTGTGGTATGAAGACGGGATCTGCCCCCCTTGATGTTCTCTGTAGCATTTGCAGAGAGCTAATACATGAGTACTGGGCTGAAAAACTTGCAAGTCACTACGTGTCCAGTTACACGGTGGGACTCAGCTCGCATAAATTTAAGCTTGATTCAGTTGCCCACATGAAGACATATAGTTTAATTCTAGACACCCCAGGTAGCCTCCAGGTCAGAGATGAATCCCAGCCTATTCCTCATTAGACCGTTATATGTGCTCTTCGGGAGCCCCCAGGGCCAAGAAATCTGGTGCTATATGAGCATCCATATAGCACTGAGTGTGGTTTAGTGGCCCCAGAACTAAGGGTATAATGCCATTTAAGGTGTCTTAGCTCTGCCTCTGATGCACAGCTTTTCTGTAGATGCTGTGTTAGATTTGCCAGCCCTGTGCCCCTATCTGGGAAACCCAGTCTATCTCAAATGTCACTAAACGGCCTAGTTTTAGGCAACTGAATTTAGTCCTGAAAACTGAACAAATCTTCCTAGAGCCTTGTAAATATATATATATATATGCACACATTCTCCAAATATATACCCAAATAATAGAAATAACTCCCATCAATATTAAATAATTTGGAATGTCAAATATTAACTAACTAGGTACTTTCAGTGAAGTGTCACTACCACACAGCCTGAGAGGTTTCTTGAAGACCTGAGCCCCGCTACAGTCAGTCTGCAGAAAACTTCTGCGTTCTGTCTGTGTCACATCTTTGGGTTTAGTTTGCCCAGCCTGATGTGAGTTTTACCTGTAGAACTGGAGTACTGTGTCCAGTCCTGGGCTCCCCAGTTCAAGAAGGACAGGCAACTGCTGGAGAGGGTACAGCAGAGGGCTGTACCAGAGGGCAGAGGGCAGGCCCCTAATCATCTTTGATTTGATGCCTGGAGCATCTCTCTTATGAGGAGAGGATGAGGGACTTGGGTCTTTTTAGTCTAGAGAAGGGAAGACTGAGGGGGGATCTGATCAATGCTTATAAATACTTAAAGAGAGGGTGTCAAGAGGAATGGGCCAGTCTTTTTTCAGTGATGCCCAGGGATAGGACAAGAGGAAATGGGCACAAACTTGAACATAAGAAGTTCCACCTAAACGTGAGGAGGAACTTCTCTAGTTTGAGGGTAGCAGAGCACTGGAACAGGCTGCCCGGGGAGGCAGTGGAGTCTCCTTCTCTGGAGACATTCAAAACCCGCCTGGACAAGTTCCTGTGCAACCCCCTGTAGGTGTACCTGCTTTGGCAGGGGGGTTGGACTAGATGATCTGGAGCGGTCCATTCCAACCCCATATCATTCTGTGATTCTGTGATTCTGTGAACTTGGACAGACACCTGGCTCAAATTAGCCATTGCTGTCCCTTCTGGGACAGAGGGTAATTGCTGGTGATTTCTCTGAGGAAGGCAGATGTGGAGATGTTTTTAGAGATAACAAAGCTCTTTGTCACTGCTGTGGCTAGTCAGAGTGACATGGTGACAGCTTCACACACTGCAAAACCACACCAAGCTTTTAATTTTCTCATACTTTTCTCCTCACTACCTGCACATTCCCTGTAACTATCAGCAGTTTCTAGAATTGGCATTCTTTTTTTTCATTGTTCTCCTGAACACAGTATCACCAGGTTTCATAGGTATTGTTCTTTCATTGATCACTCATAAATAGTTTCCAACATCTGATTTCATGACATTTTAATTATCAGTCTTACCATACTGAAGCTGTTTCATTTCTGGACTATGCACAGACATGATACGGGTGGGCACTTGTGATCGAAAACCCTGTACACTGAGACCTGCTTAACCACTTAGTACTACAATGATTCATACTTTGATATTCCTGCGTGAGGTGCTATATCTAGTGAGAAGAGGTTTGGTAGGTGTCATCCTATGTTAACCTGATATATTTTCAAGAAAAGCCTATTTGGGAGGCACAGAATAAAATATTAGCAGATGTTCCTAGATGTTTTCAAGGCAACTAAGATAAATCTATGCTTACCTATGCCTATCTAAAATCCAGTCTTCTACAGCCTGTTTATATTTTTTCAATATATAAATGCACTCCTGTTTACTTCTAAGTCTGACTTACTTCTAAAGATATTTTTCTGTAACTCCATAGGTATTAGTATACCCATGCCTTTTGAAAAATCCCCTTTAATCCCGAGAGATATCATTTACATTGATAATTAGAATTAGGAACATGCAGTCTAAAATATTATTTGTTAACAACTGATCGCTTTCTGTGCAGGTTCTTTCTGAGCAACAACTCTGACTGTCACATAGTCCTAAGATTTATTGTACAGGTATTAATGATCACATTGATATGCACATAATGAGCCTCTGGTTTTGTACCCAAATGCTTTTGTCAGAGTGTCCTCTTCAGCTTATAATTTATGTAGATGAGGATGAAAAATTGACATCAAATTTTAGGGTGTGCAACAAGTTGGCTGCTTTGATTATAGCAGTAAATTAAGTATGGTCGTTTTTATTTGCTTTTATTTGCCTCTGACATGTAAAGTAAAACCTCAAAGCAAAATTCACTCTCTATTTGAGTGCATTTTCAAATCCTTTTATTAGCTCCTCTGCTGTGTAAGCAATTGGTCTTCAAAAGGACTGACATACGTAGGCAAAATGGTCCTTCTTTCCCCCTGCAATGCCCACCAGGCATAGCCACTCTCTCAGCAGAAACCACTGCCTGAGTAAAAGAACATCGAGGCTACCCGGCTTCTATTTCTAGCCTTTGCTTTTCAGGAGATTTTCCATGGGCGTTAAGCCCCATGGGTCAGTGGATCACTTTCCGCTCCGTTTTGTACTGTTGAGCGCTTATGTCCCTTATCTCATACTCAGTTGTTTCGGTCATTTTCTTCTCCAGTGACTATCCTTCGTGCTGCTTTCTGTGGTGCTAAAGGTGAACATCAGCTGTGATTTTAGGAGACCAATCCAGGAGACCAATTTAAACCACAGTTTTAAACCTTCCGGAGCCGCCGGGTACCCGGGTTCCGGCAGCGCCCTGTCTCAGCCGCAGGGCTGGGGTAGACAGGGTGGGCAGTGGCTGGCAGCACAGCGAGGCAGAGCTGGGGCACCTTCTCTGTCTCCTTTCCGGGCCACCCCAACCCAACCCCACTCAGGTGTGTTTGCCTGGACACATCCCTCAGTGGCTGGGGGATGCATTCCCAGGGGCTCGCTGGGGAAGGGACAGGACATATCCTGGGGATGCATATTTCACTTTCTTCTCCAATACCAGTGTCTCACAATATTTACCTGTTGTCATTTCTGCCTCAGCTATTTCCTCAGCTTTCCTATTTCACCTATTTACTGTGTCATATCTAAGAAAAAGACAAGTGAGAAATACAATAACTCAGAGTCCTCGAAGCTTTGTAGCGAGTCAGCGTTACTTCTATGAAGTTGAATGTTCTTGGCAGAAAGAATCCAGCATTAGATATTATTCTCTGGAAACACAAGCTTTCTCTTGTCTGGTCAAACATGGGTCCATTGCCCATTTTGTCCCTTATGCTGATTTCTAAGCTAGCCACTTAGTGGGAGGGCAAAGCCATAAAGGACAAACATAATTATGCCTCTAGGGCCCTTTTTGTGGAGATGAATTCCAGTGGGTGAATAATCCCAGGATTAACTGGAGGATGAAGAGTGATTTTGGGGTAATTTGATCTGGCTCTTTTATGAGCTGATGAATTTTAAGGGTCACATGTTTTCTTCTGAAAGAGCCTTGGAAGAATCTTCTGAAATATGAAATGTGTTACATTATGTTGCATCATGTACATGTTTTGAGACTGAGTTATAACTAGTAAGACTCTGTGCCACAGAAATAAGCATTTCAATGCCATAATCTCATTCAACGATCTTGAGAGTTGTTGTTCTCTAACTCCTGAATAATAATGAGATCTAACTATATTGGGCAAGTTACATTTCTGATTCTTTCTAAAAGTACTTAAGATCATACCAGGCTTTTTAAGTTTTTCACACAAGGGCAAGCCTTTCTTTTGTAGTGGTTTACCAGCAAGGCGTGCAAAAGGGGTGCAGACGCAGAGGTTTGCAGTACTGAGTTGTCCTTCTCGCAACTGTTATCTTTTTATCTTTTTCTTGTGAACACTGATTAGAAATTTTGTTTGCATTTGACAGGTGCATGCTGTAGGATTTTCTGCATCTGAACCCTGCATCCTCTTGAATTATTGCTAAGAAAATAAAAATTTCTCTGCTCTCCATGTCTCTAGCCCGTCTTTTGTGTCAGATATTCCTAAACTTACCAAACAATAGATGCCTGCCAATTCTCAGAGGTTCTCATAAATCTTATGTGTGAATCTTTTTCAGCCTTTCAACTGAAAATGTTACCTGGGCAGTATAATTCTGCAGGGAATTTGCTGGTTAATGCTGTATCTTGGTCCACAATTTGGAAATTACTTTTGTACTCTACATGCCCTGACTTTAGTCTCTCACTGTTGCTCTGTGAAGCCTTTTCAGGTGGCCCTTGTATTTGTTCTCCCATTGGTTTGCTTGCTTGAAGATAACCAAAAAACCCCCGTTAAAATAATGTAATATTGATGATGTAAAGGGAAACTTCAACCACCATTTCCTGTTAGAGACATTAAATAGAAAAGATGGTATTGTAACTTCGAATGCTCTTGTCAGTAAACAGCAGCAGCTATGACAAGCCATCTGTTAGCTCTCCTGCTCTTTCCAATTGCCCTTAACCTACCACCGAGATGTAAGTACTCCTCTAAGGGTAAAAACATCCAAATTCCCCCTTCATGTGGGTAGCACATAACATAACTGCACTTCTCTTGTGTTTCAGATGGCTGCACAGAGATAATCGGAGGACGTGTTGTGTCCCCTCACTCCTGGCCTTATATGGCTGCTATTCAGAGAGAGAATTCAACTGTGTGCGGAGGAGCTCTTGTGGAAAAGCAATGGGTTTTGACAGCAGCGCATTGTGAGTAAGTATCTTATATTAAGGGCAATTAATTGCGGTGGGGCATGGTATGCAAGCCTGTAAGTAAAGGCGGATATTGATTTTTTTAAGAATTATTAAATGCTGCAGTTCTCTCACTAAATTAATCTAAGAATTTGTCATTCTGTTTTAATTTGTTTTGTAAACTGCTGGTCTATATTGTGTACAGTTACCTTCAACAGTTAGATCCCGCCACTGTTACAGGACATAGACTGTGGTGATAAAAGGCCAAATTCATTATTTATGCATCTGTAACAGCGGCGTCTTAGAGAAAGGGATGTATTCCAAAGTTCCAAATCTTACCTGTGTGCCTGGGACTAAGCACTAAAATGCCCTGAGAGATGAAGTTGAATTATATGGAAACACTGTTCTCCCATTTGAAGTCACTTGGGCTCACAAAAACTGAATGTCCGTGATGACTGTGAGAAGAAGCCTTGTCCTTTTGACAAGTCAAGTGTTAGCACAAGCACCCCTTCCCCAGGGGGGATACCCCAAAGCTGGCACAGCTGTTAAACAGCTGGCTCAGGATAAGGAGGACATCTACTGTTCATGTTAGGAAGTAAAATGCCCTGGTTTTGCTAAAATGTTCTCCAAATCATATTTTAGTTCTCTATTTTTTTTACTTTATTTTGAGTAGCTAAAATCAAACCAATTATAATAAGCCTGTGCAAACCTGACATCCTCAAACACAGTGGGGGTAGCTCAGCCAGCCTTCTTCCATCAGGTAGCCTGAAATAGAGGATACAGCTCCTTCTTTTTAAGTGAATTTGACTTTCACACTTCTTCAGCTGGATCAGGTTTGGTTGCATTTTTTGTAAAGGTAGAAATATTCACACCTAGCATGTGCTGTTTCAGACATTAATTCCGAACTCTGGAAATCCCTGAAGGTCAGCTATCACTATTGTTTCATCAAACTAGATTTGTTTCATCAAACTAAGTAAAGAAATGTTACATCCCCAGGGGGGATACCCCAAAGCTGGCACAGCTGTTTAACAGCTGGCTCAGGATAAGGAGGACATCTACTGTTCATGTTAGGAAGTAAAATGCCCTGGTTTTGCTAAAATGTTCTCCAAATCATATTTTAGTTCTCTATTTTTTTTACTTTATTTTGAGTAGCTAAAATCAAACCAATTACAATAAGCCTGTGCAAACCTGACATCCTCAAACACAGTGGGGGTAGCTCAGCCAGCCTTCTTCCATCAGGTAGCCTGAAATAGAGGATACAGCTCCTTCTTTTTAAGTGAATTTGACTTTCACACTTCTTCAGCTGGATCAGGTTTGGTTGCATTTTTTGTAAAGGTAGAAATATTCACCCCTAGCATGTGCTGTTTCAGACATTAATTCCGAACTCTGGAAATCCCTGAAGGTCAGCTATCACTATTGTTTCATCAAACTAGATTTGTTTCATCAAACTAAGTAAAGAAATGTTACATTGTACAGGAAAATCCAAGCTCATGTCAAAACACCAAAATGAACAATATCCTTCCATATGTTTAATCATGTTGTTGTAAAATGAAATTGTGAGAATTATGCTACATGTCTTTTGATTGTCTTGAGAGATGTTGCTCAGCTGTAGTAGTTACCTTTTGTCCCTGTACTTTCTTTAAATTACAGATTAAATGAACCAGAAGTTAGAGTTGTTCTTGGAGCCCACCAAGCATCCATAGCTGAAAAAGAACAGCAGATATTTAAGGTTATGCGCTACGTTCCTTATCCTCAGTTTGACAGGTCTTCCAAGGAAAATGATATAATGCTCCTCAAGGTACTGTGTTAATTACTATTGTATTATTATAAAAGGAATTTTGCTGATGATAATTTTCGCTATTCTTTGATATTGAAGAGTACATAGTTTAGATAGCTTAACAATATCATAGAACACCCTGCTTCTGGTTGTACTAATCTAGATAAGGTTACAGGATCACTGGCACTGTGAGCAAGGATGGCATTTCAAGCCCGTTCTGTGCTCTAAAACATTCTTTAAGCCACTTATTGCAGTAACCTCTCCAAAACCCCAAAACACATTCTTTAGTAATTTTTCAAAGGCAGTGCTGAAGTGATGTGTGCAATGGAGTCTGGGTCACAGCTGTAGCCCAACAGGGTATCTTGTGCTGAACTAGGCAAAAATGGGGATGAAACTTACTGTTGTTAATTATTAGGGGTAACCACATAAAGTAAAAGTATGGATAATACAGGACATAGATTAATTCAGGTCTAGGAGCTCAAAGTGGTCACACTCAGGATACCACACACAGGCTCAGGATACCACAGAATGAAGCATGGAAAGATGCCCTCACCAACCTTATCTTCATGGTTGCCAAAGTGGGGCAAGGCTGCAAGAATTTCCTGCATACCAGCTCCTGCTCAGCCTGGCTCATGCCTCATGTGTCCCTGCACTGTGCACTCTGTTAATCCAGCACTGAGATTGACATGGAGGCAGCCATGGGTGTTTTGAATAGGGAGAGGTCAGTCTGCATGCAGGAAACCTGTACGGGGTCAAATGGTTCTGGAGGACTGCCTTCCTGGTACCAGCAGTTTCACTGCTGATTCAAAGTCCCTGAGAAGAGTAAGACTTGTACTTTACCTTGCCCATACCTTTAGAAACATCATGACTTCAGTATGATGCCTAAGAAACCTTAGATGGATCTTTATATAGACTGTTCTTTTGTTACGCCTGTGATAATGAAGAAAAAAGTACCAGGGCTCACCTCCCATCTCTACAGTTCTGCTGTAGTGGTGTACTAAGTGACTCGGGACAAACTTTTAATCTTTGGAAATTCCCACCAGCACTGGTGATAATAATCTGCAAGGATTTTTTGGATAAACCTGTGATTTGGTGGAGTGCCTTTTTTAAAAGGTGTAAAGGCAGAATCGTTTAACTGACAACCATTCAGCGACATGTATAACAATCTGTGAAATGAATCACGGTTCAGTGATCATGTGTAAAACAGAAAACGTCTGTTCAGTAGCTGTGAGCCCTTAGCAAGCACACTGAGGATATATGTTTTGCTGTGTTTTGCTATGCTTTCATTTACAGGCTTAAATTGGCCTCTCCTGAAGGATGAATCTTTCAGGTAAGGCCAACAAAACACAGTGCGTGTGGATCATTTAAGCCCTTTTGAACTCTCTGAGCAAAAACTCAGCACTTGGAAGAGTTCAAGAACTCGTTTTTCCCCAATTATGTCGCTGCTCTCATGTCTAATTGTTTCATCTTTGTTCCTGGGTACATTGCACCTTGCTTTGAGACCTTACTTTGTGTCAGTCAAACACCAGAGCCTGATTTCAACACAGAAGCTCAGTGGCAGGTTAGGTTCTTGAACAGGACATAGATCCAACAGCCTAACTCCTGTGCAGGTTTTTAATTTCCTACTGTAGTCAAAAGGAAACTGGACTTGAACTCAGTGCTGCTGCCATAGATATGGAATTGCTATACATACACCAGGGAAATTCTTTTGTATTTGCAAAAGGGTAATTAAATTCAGGATCAGTTCCTAAATGTTGAAAAGTGGTTTATATGGAAAGTAGTAGTAGAATGAGACTAAATGGCAGTTGATTTGCTGAACTAAATGCCAAAGTGGAGTATACTTTCCTTCCTTTCTGCATGAGAAAGCATTTTTTTCTTCTTTTTTTCCAGCTGAATGGTGTTGCAAAGCGGAACAAATATGTGCAAACTTTGTGTCTACCTGACTCTTATGAAGATATCAAACCTGGCACAATGTGCAAGGTGGCTGGCTGGGGAGTCACATCTTCAGGAAAGCCATCAAAATGTCTTCAGGAAACAACTCTTAAAATTGTTGATAGAAAAACCTGTCAGAGCAAATACAAAAACCCAAAAATAACCAGCAACATGTTATGTGCTCTAGGGAAAAAACTCCATTCAAAGAGAGATGCTTGCCAGGTAAGAAGAAAAGTTACGAAGAGGATGGGATATGCTTTTAAAGATGGTTCCCTTTTCACTGCAAACAAAGCAGTGCTAGACACTTAATGAGGCTGATCAGATTTACAGTGATTTTAACCAGATTTGTAAGAGACTTTATTGCTGTGAAAAAGAAGTGTTAAAACTTTGAGTAGTTTAGGTCAGTGCAGATCTAAAGGATGGGAATTTGGGTCTGGGATTATCTCCGTTATCTTCAGGTGCATTTCTTTAGCTAAAGTGCTCTCCTTAGGCAGCACCTCTAGTTGTCAGAGAAAAATGAGAGCTTTCAGCGTCTGAATCGTTTGATCCTTTCCAGATGTCATAATCTGAATAGTACAGAATTAACTGTACACTCAAAAGTACTGTTTGGATCTTGCTTTTGATGTCTTCTCTGACGAGTCCAGAATGGCTAATGGCTAAAGAAGTGAGAATCAATTTATACCAACAATAAAAAAATACCATTTGAAAAAGAATTATGATAGCACTATGCTGCTCTACAACATTTACATCAAAGTCTCCCTCAGGCTTGAAAAGCAGCCTCTCCTTTACCTCACCCAACTACCATGAAGTAACATAGCCAACTAATTAATTTCATAGGTTGGAACAGGTTACAGGCAACATTTCCAAACATTGTTATGCACTGCAGGTGGCACTGCATGCTCCTCTGTAGAGCAACGAACACACATTGATAGCGTCTTTTATTTTGTGTTCCAGGGAGATTCAGGCGGGCCGTTAATCTGTGCTGACCAATACAGTGGGATTGTTTCTTTTGGAAGCGGAAAAGGGTGTGGAAGAAGAGACGCGCCTGGAGTTTATACGCGACTAACTGAAAAATATATTGACTGGATAAAAAAAACAATTTCCCATGACAGAGATCCATGAGGCAGGCAAGACAGTTTTGATAAATACTCTGCAGTGCATTAGGCCCAGATGCTGCTGCTTTAGTGCGCCACCTTTAAAAAGTAGATCCCAGCTTTAGAGCTTTACTAACAGCACCACAGCTTTATGAGAACAGTTCAAAATATTCCCCTTTGTACGGAGAACATGTTTGCTCATCCTTAGTAGGAAACTGCCTCTTAGATAACACAATCTGTTTTGCACTTCACCTTACTTCTTAGTGTGATGGGAAAGTACTGCTCACCTTATTCATTGTGGCTGGGATAAAGCAGTATTTTTGAATGTGTACTTACAGAAAAATTAAGTTCCAGAGTGATAGTGAATGAAATGTCTGATGAATGAGAAAAAAAAAAGAACAAAAGCTTTACATGTTCAAATATTTCACTGTGACATTATTCAAAACCAAATGATTCAATTCTTCATTACTAAATATTTAAATAATTTTCAAAGAGTTAAACTATTAAATTAATATTTTTCCAATTGATCTTCAGTTACGAGAGAGAAAAAAAAATTCTTTTTCCCCTAGATTCTTCACTTCTTTGCTTATTGCCTTAATATGTACCGAATACTGTAAGCTTTGGCATGTTGCAGAGGCATGAATAAATAACTCCAACACATCAGCATACTGCTCTTGATTATTGACCAGTCACTGTGCTGAGCAGAGCAAGCCCTGTCTCCTGAAGGCTGTGCCGGTAAAGGGGGCAAATGGGCTCCCCAGAGCTCGGTTGGCAGTGGGACACGGTGCAATAAACCCTGCCGATGTGGAGTACGGGGGCTTGGTCCAGTTCTCACTGATGGTCACGGGAAGATCTTTAGAGATGCCAGTGACAATTGGCTCAGGCCTGGAACACAGACAGAAACTGGGAAGAACTAGGGGGAAAAAAGGGGACGCGATGTAAAAGTGGAAGGAATAACACTTTTCAACTGGAGGTCTCTGAGGATGCTGCAAACACAAATTAGCCCCTTCTACCTTTATAAGGTAAATGACAGCAAGGATATCCTCCTGTCCATCCCACAGGAGACTTTTGATGCCCCGCAGCCCAATAACAACTAAAGGGTGTTTAGCCACAATTTAACAGTTCACTCTCTCTGTCCATGTGAACCGTGGCTGTATCTTGGTCACTGATGGGAAAGGACGAGTGATAGAGTTTGGAAACCACAACCCAGCAGGTTAGTTCCAGTTCAGATACTGGACTTGGTGTGTGTGATTTCCTGTGATGACTTTACTTCATTTACAGCTTCTTTCTTTCTTTCCTGGGCGATGCTGCAGGTGGAAGGGCGCTACTGCCAGGCCCCCCAGGGCACCACCAGGCCTGCCTGCCCCTGCCCACCCCCCCGGTGTCTCCCCCTCACACCCACTCACCCACCCACAGCCCAGGACCCATGTCAGTCCCCACAGTCATCAGCCCCTGCCCCGGCGATGCCACAGCAGGGCCGGTCTCCAGCTGCCCTCAGCCTGGCCTTGCCCACCATGGGCCCAGCTGAGCCGGGCCTACCCGCGGGCCGACGTCCCGGCCTGGCCTTGGCCTGTCCTCAGGGAAGTGCAGGAGCAGTGAGGCGAGCAGTAACCTTGGCTCATTCTCTGTCCACCCTGAGGCAAGCAGAGTCTTTATTCCATCCACACGCAACAGGAGGGAAGTCTTTGTTAGTGTTGAAATCCCCATGTCTTGAGAGGGTGCCTGCCCATCTGCCCTGGTGCGAGGTGGTCTGGGCCAGGGAGTGTGGTAGGAGTTTTGCAGCGGGGCTGCAAAATGCCCTACAAATCTGCATTTTATTAGCACCTGTGAAAGCACACAGTGGAATGATGGCTACTTCTGTGGCCAGGGGTAGGTGAAGGCCCAGGAAAGGGTGAGTGTTGGCTGAACAAGGTGACCACAGGTGTCACTCGTTGCTGAAACCACTCCTGGGCTGGTTCTCAGAACTGAGCTCAAAACAGGAAAGCCACAGACAGTAACCCCAGGTACTTTACAGTTTTACAATAACAGACACCCACAAAGCCTGACAAAATTAAGCTAGAAACACATTCTTACTAGACTGAGAGGGACTCGTATTCAGAGGCTTGTGGTGGAGTTTACTATAGATGGCAGTTGTTTCCAGCACAGCTTTTCTGATTCCACTTTCCTTCAGTAAGAGAAACCTAGTCTTATCTCTTTTAACCTCTTACACCTCAGCACTAATCTCTAGAGGCCTGTGAGGTGTCCCCTTGCACATTGCCTCCCGTTTTCCAAACATTGACTTCTTGTACTAGACCAGTTCTTCCATACTATCTGTTTTCATCTTTACTGGAAATTTCTGAATGGACTAAAGGAGCCCTGCCCCAGGAATCCTTCTGCCCTTGGCCAGGGCTGGGCTCCTATCTATGCTTGCACTTTGCGGAGTTCACTTCTCTATCGGACGTTTGCATCTGTCTCTGTTTTTACTGAGGTCTTCCAGGTAAATAGTATTTCTTAAGGATTGCTTGCTGAGAAGTCTGTTTTGCTTGTTGACTGTCATACAGTCATATTTGGGCATAGAGAGCAGCCCCTAAGGTTGACCAAGCATTGCAAAGACATGACATATGTCACTGACATGCGATGTATGGTGCTGACATAGAGCATACAGTGCTGACATAACAGCTGATGGCTCTCTGTGCAATAGAGGGGGCTGGAAACTGGGATTCACACATCACACATGGATGCAGATGCCAGTTAGCTTTAGTCCTTATGTTTGTTCTGCCCTTGTACCCGGCAGTAGTGCCTGATGTTTTGTACTTGTTTTGGCTGTACCTCTAATGCACTGTATGTTCAATATGGGAATCTTTATTTTTTTAAAACAAACTTCTAGTTCTCAGTACAGAAGGTAGCATTATCAAATGTCAACAACTGTTGTTTCCTGAAAGTGCAGTGATATGTTAGGAGCATGAATTGCCTCCACAGATCCTAGTCAAAGTCTTTGTTTTATCTTCTGAATACAGAACCACCCACCACCTAGCAAGCTGTAAAAGTAGCCTTCCTTTTGGGCAACTCAGTCTGGCATCAGGAAGAAACATTTAGAAAACAAAATTATAACAAAGAAAGCCATCAGATTTTCAAGATAATTTTCTTGGATATTTGCCAAAGAGAAATAAAGATAAACTCGGAAAACCCTTTCAAAGTCTGAATAGGTCAGTCTGCCATAGTCAGACAAATTACAGCAAGTCATTTTAACTTGCCTGTTACATCTTTTAATTATGATTTACTAGTTTCCAAAGTTTATCCTCATCTGATTAATGATCTGGCAGATGGTTTGGACACCTCCACCCCAGTATTTTTATAAGCCCACAATCATATGATGAAGCTCTTTCTGGATTGACTAATAATATTTAATAATCAATACTTAGCAGGTTGCAAGCAGTTTAAATTTAACTGCAGTTCAATTCGAGGTAGCACAGGTTGCTTCAAAGCCATTGGAATCAGCTGTGAAATGTGCATTCAAAGTCAACCATTAATTTTATAAGTCATTGAGTCTAAAAGCTGTACCAAGAGCCACATCCTTGCCATGACAAAAATGAAACCACAGAAAGATGTGCAAGAGAGCCCTTATTTTAATGAAGAACAGAACAGTAACGTACAGAGTTTAGCTAGTTCCAAAGACACAGATTAGACTCAATGTGTAAACCACGGAGTTTCACAGGGTTCATTGTTATGTACATTTGTTTCTAAAAAGCAAGAAACTTTGCCCTGTTAACACACTTTCACAGATCTTTTATTTCAACAAAATATCAAACCTCTCTGCAGTCACATAGAAAATTAAGCAATAATTAAAACAGTGACAACATCAGTAAATGAACAAAATATATGTCACTTTAATCACTCTTAAGCACTGCTGTCATAAAAAAATATTAGTCAACAGTATTTAATTAACCATTTCCATTTAAATGAATAAATAGCACATGGTTGTTGGCTTAGATGATCTTGAAAGCAGGTAGAGGAAGTTTCCTATTAGGATGTAGCATCCAGGTTTCTTGGAACATCTGTATCTCAAGCTGTTGTAACCAAAGCCACATGACACATCTTTTCAGCCCCCTTGGTACAGGATTAAAGCAGCTGCATGAAAAGAAGGGGGAGTCCCAGACTAACGTGTTTGCAAAACCCCTGACATTTATAAATGGCAATGGACCACACTGACAGTGTTGTGGCTCTCACTGATTAAACTCTCATGCAGGCACATCCTGTGCTGAAACCTGCAGTCCTCGCCGAGCACTGGTCTTAACAGAATTCAAGTAACAGGTGGTCACTCTGGGCACACAGCTTGTTCTCTGAACTGAGGCTTCGGGCATGCTGATGGAGCACTGTGGAGAAACTCGCACTGCTTCCTTTCACTAGCTTTTTTGAGACATCCCATCTTCCAAACTGGTCCAGCCAGGTCTTGTCAGCAAATCCCTGCTACGTACAATCCACATCATAACAAAAAGAATAATGTGGAGGCAGTAACTATACTTGGAGCACTGAAGATCTCACACACACAGAGACAGAAGATAAACTGACTGATCCTGCTGCATAGTTAATTTTCTTCCCGCAATATTTCAAAGGGATGGGTTCTAACTTGCAAGTGTTCTTGGGGATGCCTATACACTAAAACATAAAAACATGTGCTTAAAAGTGTGATATAGGTAGCTACAGCGCTGATGATTCAAGGTACACCAACTTCAGAAGTTATCACCTCTCTAGCTGGAAGGGAGTGGTGTTTGTGCTCCTCCAGGAGTGGAAACGGGTGGTTTGAGTTAAGTTGCTGCCCCGTGAATGAGTTTATGGATCTGCGAAATGAGACTGCTGCAGCAGCAATCAGCCAGGCAGCACCACAGTGAGATTTGACAGGGACTGCACATCAGAGCCCTGAATTATTAAACAAAGTCCATTTGTGTATTCTGTCTTATGAACAATAGTGTTGATCTGATCAGGTGGTCTTGGCCTCATTATGCAGAAATATTGAGAGCATCTGCATGAGGTAAGAGCACAGCTAGTGATAAGATAATGCAAGAAATAGACTCAGTTCTAGTGGGATATTTAAAGTGTTTCTCTTCCAGTTCCCTGTCACCTCCCATTTTTTGTCCAGCACCCAGTTACTGAAGTCAAGGTCACGGTAACAGTTACCAGTTTTGATATTCATACTTGGGACAGTTGTTTTCAGAAGGGTTTGTTATTCCAACAGCTGTGTTGGGTTGGGTTTTTCCCTTCTCGTGATGCTTGTTTCCAGCTTAGCCATCCCAAGCAGTGTTCCTCTGCCTAGCCAAACACGGCTGGTGACCCTGGGTAGGTTTCAGTGGGCACAGGCAGTGGTTCTAAGTCCTGTTTCAGGCACTTCTGTTAGGCAATAGACAAACAAAAAATAATTCCTTTCCCCTCTATGTTGGTTATGGAAAACAGACTTATTTGTTTGCTACCAATGCTTCATAAAATGAAAAACATTTTTAATTTTATAAAACAGAAAAAGCCACTGAAGCCAGAACTGAAGATACTATTTCCCAATTCTGTCCCAGGTGGCCTCATGGGATCCACATGAGGGAGTAGCTTGTGTACCACAGCTTTGGGGGCTGTTTCCTACTGTCAACAACCATTTCCCGACCTTCCTT